GCTGCACAGAACTGGTGTAAAATCCCTGTGGTGAACGAACCCGCTTGCTGCCTACAGTCTCTCACCTCCACTCCCTGCTGCTGTCCACTTAGGGAAGAAGCACCAATATTCCAGCCTTAATGAGAAACAAGGATGGCTTTTTTTTACTAATTGAAGAGCCTTAACTAAAATACTTTTCAGAGAAAGATACTGTGAATGGAGGCAAAAAGACTATGTGTGAGCATATTTGAGCTGACATACACATTTTGATTTTAAAAACATAACCGAGAATATACTCCATTAGCAGTATTTCCTCTTAGCTACCATGTACTTCAGTAGACTATCATCAAATCTAATAACATGGATCAACCAATGGCTTTTCCAATCAGCGGTTTTGTACTTTCATTGCAAAAAAAAAAAAAAGGGGGGGGGATAAACAAAAGCACAATGAGTGCTGAAAACATTATCTAAAACCCTGCTTACCTTGGCTACCACCTCGTGTCTGTCTTTCCACTATGCTCACCTTACCTTCTTGTTCAGATTGAAGAAGTATGCCTCTTGGGACAAAGTGTCCTTTGAAGGTCTGAATAGTAGAGCAGTCATTTAAGATAATCTTTGATCCTCACATACACTCCCTCTGTCCTATCACAGAGTCTAAGAATACAGCCTCAGGCTGATCCAGATGCCTAGGAACTACCTAGTATTGAATGGCCTGTGAAGGCCAGGCACTATGTTCTCTCCACTCTGTTTAGAGGCTGCTGAGAGGTGAATTTCAGAGGTAGAGGCTTTCACTCTGAGGGTGAGAGGAAGCAGCCCACAGAAACCTGCAGCCTTCTGGGCTCAGAGACCACACATACTCCACCTGGGAGCATTGCCAGCATACGAATTCATATAGACTTAGCAAGCATATTAAAAGCTTATTTTCTATTCAGCACAGGGCTAGGCTTAAAGGAAGTCACACTGAACAAGGTTCATATGGTCTCTGACCTCAGGGAACTTACAGGAAAGATGATCAAGTCCAATAAACAATTCCAAAAAGAGTCTAATGTAGGAAGAACCACGTCTCCAACTTCCACTCTGGATTTAGAAATGTAGTGGATATTGCTGCCACACAGAAAAAAAAGGCTCAGGAATTCATAAAAACATAACTTTCTTGGCATCAGCAGAGAGCTCAAGTCACAAGCAACTGACTAGCCTGACACCTAGGGGAAGAGAGCTGGACAGAGTTCTGACTCACCTTTAGCACAGGATGAAGACAGTGCCACCACACAAGAGGGTAAGATCTATGCTAAAATTCCTAATCAGTTGCTAAAGGCTAAGTGGGGGCCAGTCTGAGTTCTCACCCACTCACAGGCTCTTCTTGGACCACCACTGGGCACTCAGGAGGAAAACCGAGTATAGGGCTAGAGGTGGGAGAAAGGCTCCTCCTCCTCAGCTAGATCCAAACATTCCTCAAGTGCATGATCAATTTTCCAAATTACCATAGGCATTTTTGCCAGTGATTTCCCTACCATGTAGCCTTTTCCTGACCTTGACAAGCAGTTTGTTCACCATGTTTCCAGCCATTTTCTTCACTCCTTTTCAGCTGCTATATTGCTGCCAAATTCTAAAGTCAATGCCACAGTTTGTTTTGTTGCATCAGCGTTCTCTGATACTAACTTCTGTCAGTTATCTATCCATACCTGACCACCTCATGTACTCATAATCCTGTGAGTCAGCAATTTGAGCTGCACTCAACTGGGCAGTTCTGACGGCCTCACCTAGGGTCTCTCATGCAACTTCAGTCACCTGGTGGCTTCCCTGGGGCTGATAATTAAAGAAGACATCACTCACAAGTCTGCTGGTTGGTGCTGACAACCAGCAAGGCCCCCCCCCTCCATGTGGCCTCTCAATTAGAAGGTTGACCCAGGCTTCTTCACACTTTGCTCTCAAGAGTCTTAGCCACAGCTGAAAGAGGGCAAACCCCAATATGTTTTTCAAGCCTCTGCTTCCCTCATGTTTGATAATGTTCCACTGGCAAAACAAATCATGTCATCAAGCTTATCTTCAAGGAGTAGAGAAATAAACTCCATCTCCTGATAGGAACAGAAGAGTCACACTGAAGAAAGATTTTCAAGGAGGGATGGAATTAATTGTGGCAACCATCTATCACATCATTATTTACCTGCCCCCATAAATTGTGAATTAGAACACAGGAAACCACTTTCTCACTAATACAGCTAAAATTATATGGACTGACAGTAACATGTGCTGTCAAGGATGCACAACAAATAAAACTTTTATTCACTGATGAGGGAAGGATAAGTTGTTTCAACCATTTTTGGAAAACTGTTTGGCAGTATCTACTCAAGCTAAAGATATGCCTACCCAGTGACCCAGCAGTGCCATCCCAGGTTTCTACCCAAGAGAAATGAGAACGTGACCACAGTGAGACTCGCACGGGAACCCTCACAGCAGCATTATTCATAACAGCAAAACCCAGGAAGAATCCAAACATCCATAAAGACTAGAACTTCAAAGTTCTGGTATATTCGGATGACAGAATGTTACACAGCAATTTTTAGAAAGAATAAAGTACTTACGAAGTGACAAAGATATATTTTGTGGACACTGAGTGAATAGGACACACAAGAGGGCATACTGTGAGGTTTCATTTCTGTAAGCAAGAAAAACAAATCTATGGTGATGGAAGTCAGAACATGGGTTACCTCTGGGGGTGGGGCTCACGACTGGGAGAGAAAATATTTTACATATTGATGTGGGTGGTACAGACATATGTACAATAATTCATCAAGGTGGGCATTAAATTTATGAACTGTTATGTAAGTTATACCTCAATTAAAACACAGAAACGGAACTCCATGACAACAGGTGAAAATTAAGAATAGCCCCCCTGGGTAAAGTACTATGGAGACCAAGTATATTTGGAGCCAGACTCTGTCACTTACCACCTGCATAACCTTGGTTCATTCACCTCATCTGCTAGGCCTCAGTTCCTCATCTGTGAACTGAAGATAATGAAAGACCTTCCCTTGGTATTACTGTGGGGACTAAACAACTTAAAAGGTACAAACCTTCAGGAAATATTATCAATTAATATTAAGGTCTAAATAATTATTTGCTAGTATGTTGATGAGTAATTGAATATTCATTGCCAGGAAGATGGTCATTTTACAGGAAACAATTTGCTAGCACTTATAAAATATCAAAAATCAGCCCTGCCTGATTTGGCTCAGTGGGTTGGCCATCGTCCTGCAAACTGAAAGGTCACCAGATCAATTCCTGATCCAGACACATGCCTAGGCAACCAATCAATATTTCTCTTGCACATCGATGCTTCTTTCTCCTTCCCTTCCCTTCTCTCTAAAAAATAAATGTAAATTTTTAAAAAGATTTTTATTTATCTTTAGAGGGGAAGGAAAGAGGGAGAGAAACATCAATGTATGGTTGCCTCTAGTGCATCCCCTGCTGGGAACTGGCCTGCAACCCAGGCATGTGCCCTGACTGGGAACTGAACCTCGATCTTCTGGTTCGCAGACCCGCTCAATCCACTGAGCTACACCAGCCAGGGCTGAATAAATACAATTTTTTAAACATCAGTTCATTTAATCTCATAGCTTCAAAATACATAAATTTAAAATGACAGAATTACAAGACTGATTCAGAAACCCACAATCATGGTGGGAGAGTGTACCGTAGCTCCTTCAGTGAACAACAGATCAGACTCCTATGGACTGATGTGTATGTCCCCCAAATTCATAGGCTGAAGTCATCCACAATGTGATGACATCTAGAGGTGGGACCTTTGGGAGATGATAGGGTTACAGGGGTGGACCCCTTATGGCTGAGGATTAGTGCCCTTATGAAAGGGACCCCAGAGAGCTCCCTCACTCCTGTTATGTGAGAACACTGAGAGAAGTTGGTTATCTATGAACCAGGTAGCAGGTCCTCACCAGACACTAAATCTGCCAGCACCTCAATCATGGACTTTCAGGCCCCAGAACTGTGAGAAATAAATTCCTGTTGTTCATAAGCCACCCGGTCTATGGTATCTGTTATAGCAGCCCAAACTGACTAACACAAACACCAATATTTATAAATGTGCAAAAGATTTTGAAACACAACTAATATGCTCAATTTAGTAGACATGTGAATGGAATACATTGATTTCAACCACCCAGAAAGCACTTATAAAAATTGACTATGTACTAAGTGCATCAGATAGAAACTGTATTCAACTGTAGTAAGCCCATCCCAGCCTTCCCTGGTCCACTGCCCTCATCCAAAGAGCCCATGTCACATACCAGAAAGAAGTGCACCCTCTTCATCTAACAACGTGTCCAGAAATAAACAGTCCAGGGATGGTACAGACACATAAAAACACCAACTGGGGAACTAGAATGGTTATGACCTCTGGCCATACTCTCTTTAGTTGTTAGCTTTTATCCTCTAGCACTGGACATCATGTCTGGTTGCACAAAAGACAAACAGAAGCATCTGGCTGAATGCCACCACTCCTTTCCCACCTCTTTCCCAGGAATCACGTGCAGCAACTTCTCATGCTGACCAGCACTGGGGGGCATGGCCTTCTCTGACTGCAGAAGGGCTGGGCCATGGAGGTTTTTTCATAGAGCACATTACCAATCTGAACAAAAAACACCTAAGTTACACTGTAAGGAAGAGTGGCAGTTTTGGTCTGCAAGTACTAGAATGTGCCACACTAGACCAAAAAGCAAATCTCAACAAATACCTAAGACTCAATAACACAAAGACCATATGCTCTGCTCACAACATAATTGAATTACAAGCAGCAATAAAAAGGTAACTGTAAAATTCCCAGATATATGCAGGAACTTTCCAGAATGACAGAAATGATCTATATATTCAGTGGGGTGTTGGTTACACATATGTATACATCTGTCACACTCATCCAACTCATAAGGTTTATGTATTCCACTACAAGAAATTATACCTCTATGAAAATATAACCATGTACAGTTATTTTAAAATCTAATTCCAAATACGTGTCAAAGATTTAATCAAAATGGCGACTAAGACAATATATGGAATCTAACAAAAGTAAAATTAGACACCAAAACAAGTGATATAGGAGCTAAATGAGTACTATGAGAGATGATCACAGGCTCAAACGTGTCTCTTTTTACAAACTAGAAGTTAATTAGCAAGGGGCCCACCAAATGAATGAGATGCTGATAAAGACAGGCCGCCATTACCGACGTTTTCTCTCCTGGCGTGGGTCCTCTTATGCACAGTAAGTGAAGAGCTGTGCCTGAAGGCCTTCTCGCACTGATTACATTCATAGGGTCTCGCTGCGGTGTGGGTTCTCACATGCACCATGAGGTGTGAAGACTGGCCAAAGGCCCGCCCACATAGCTGACATGCATACGGTTTCTTGCCAGTATGGGTCCTCACGTGTTTCCTGAGGGATGAGGGCTCACCAAAGGCTCGCCCGCATTCCTGGCATACGTAGGGCTTCTCTCCAGTGTGGGTTCGCATGTGACTCTTGAGGGTGGAGAGACGACTCAACACCTGACCACAGGTAGTACACTCATAAAGTTTCTCCCCCGTGTGGATCCTCTTGTGAACATTCAGATGGGTGCTCGTCCGAAAGGGCTTCCCACACTGGCTGCATTCATATGGTTTCTCTCTGGTGTGAGTCCGCAGATGAGTCTTCAGGGACGAATGCTCCCTAAAGGCTTTCCCACAGTGACTGCACTTGAAGGGCTTCTCTCCAGTGTGAGTCCGCATGTGGCTCCTCAGAGAGGATGGCTGGTTAAAAGCTTTCCCACAGTCCCTACATTCATAGGGCTTCTCACCCGTGTGGTTCCTCTGGTGCAAAATCAGATTGAAGTTCCTCGTGAAGGTTTTCCCACACTGACTGCACTTGAAGGGTTTCTCTCCAGTGTGAGTCCTCATGTGGCGACGCAGATTTGAGGAGTACTTGAAGGCATGCCTACACTCCTCACATTCAAAGTACTTCTCTGAGGTATGGGTCTTCTCGTGCCTGATAAGGTCGGAGCTGTATCTGAAGGATTTTTCACATCTGTTACAAGCGTAGGTTTTATCTCCATTATGGATCTTCTCACCCACTATTAGGTGAGTAGTCTGGAAGGTTTTCCCATCCTCTTGGCACTTGTAGGGGTTGCCTCCAGCATGAATTCTCTCATACTGAAAAAGTTGTTTAATGCTGTTGAAGGTTTTCCCAGGTTCATTATATGTGAAGAGTTTTTCTCCAGGTGGAGACTGCTCCTGTCAAATGAGGAAAATACAAAGACCAAAGACATCGTTACAATCAACATTCTCCTCCAAGTGAACTGTGTATGGAATCAAGGCATTTCTACAGCGGAAGCGTTCACCACTTTCATGTGTCTGTACAATTTCTACCTACATTCTGTGAAGTGGATGCCAAACCACAAAAAGCCACCATTTCCATTTCTTTCATGGGGCTTCTGAGATGTAGACTTTTTCTAAACTGCTTAAGACTACACTAAGTTTGTTTGTGTGTTTCTTTATAGACAGGGGAAAGGTGGAAGAAAAAGAGGGTGAGAAATATCCATCAGTTGCCTCTCACACACCCCAGCCAACCTAACCCACCAACCCACACCATTCTGGCTTCACTAAGTTTTAAATGCACTATGTCTGCGCATTTAAACCCATGAATGGGTTCGTGAACATGATTGGGTATGAGAACTCTGTCAATATATGTCTTGATCTGCATTTCACGTTTTCTCTCACTTCATGACTCACAGACTCTTTCCTAAGAAACAGGTTTCTCCTGGGCGAGCACCCCTTGCCCTCAATCTTTCTCTAGCCTCTAGTGCTGTTTTCTTTTTTTTAATATTTATTTATTTCTAAGAGAGGGGCAGGGAGGGAGAAAGAAAGGGACATAAAACACTGATATGGAGAGAAATATCCATTGGTTACCCCTCCCATGCCCCCAACTGGGAACCTGGCCCATAACCCAGACCTGTGCTCCGACTGGGAATTGAACCAGCAACCTTTCGGTTCACAGGCCAGCACTCAATCCACTGACCCACACCAGCCAGGGCTGTTTTTCTGACCAACAACCCCAGACTTTTCCTACTATAGAGGATCAAGAAGAGTCTTTGTGTACCTTACCTTTCTCAGACCAATGGATGGGATCTCTGCAAAAATACCTTGGTTAACAATGGACTCTTGGGGTTGAAGCTGAGGTTCTGAAATGAATTAAAGAGGAAAACAGTAAGTGTACAGAGAAGAAAACTGTAGGACCAATTGGACCAAAAAAGTAAGCTAGGCACATGCAGAGTATTTTTTTAAACACTTATCTTAAATACGGAAAGAAAGGTGAAAAGGAGGAATGTTTCAGAGAGTAAAGGAAAACTTTAAGGCATTTGGCTATGTGAGGAGTCATGTAATCATAGAAATGAAGGACAGAAATAGTAGATAATTTACTAAGATTGGGACTGATGTTGAGAGAAAGTATTAACAACCTACAGTGGGGAGGAACTGCATGAACTCTACACATGGAAATGCTAAATGTGAAGAGCAGGTAGGATAAATCCTTCTATAGAGCCAGAGTAAAGTACTAAAGATAAAAAAGAGGAAAGGGGAAAGGAAAAAAGGTGGAACTCACTAGGGAAGCTCAACCAACAGCCTCTTCTGTCAAAGGCATTGACATTCATCTTACCGATCTCAGCTGTGCTCCACTCACCTGTCTGATGCTTACCTGTTCTGGCTCCTGGGAATATTTCTCTCTCAGTGGTCCACATCGCTTCTGTTTGTCCCAAATAGGAAAAGGTACTGAGTGTACATAGTTGACCTCCTGGTTGTGGGGAAAGACGCATGGGGTGGGCAGACTGCACCTGCCCCAAACCAGGGCTGACAGGCTTTAAGGGCACCGGGGTGGGAGCAGTGAAGTGAGCATGCCTAAATCCTGATGGGCACGGCAGAGCTCTTCCACTAAGAAACAAGCTCCCTCACTGAGTCTCTGGGGACACTGTGACATTCTGGTCCCCAAAACCGAGAGCCTAGCTGTTTCAGAAGCCTGACACAACAGACAGACCTTCATTTCCATGGGGAAGCCACTACACTATAAGCACCATCATGGCAGGACTTGTCTGTCTTTTCACCTCTCAGTTCCAGGAATACACACTTGCTGGGTGTGTGTGTGGATGAAGCGATAAGACCGCCTTACCCACTGAGGCCAGGTTCCTGTAGTTCTCCAGCATCACGTCTCTGTACAGGCTTCTCTGCGCAGAGTCTAGAAACCTCCATTCTTCAGGGGTGAAGAGCACGGTCACGTCTGCAAAGGTGACTGTTTCCTAAAATGCACACTCACCAGACTCAGTCAGGGGCCACCTCTGCCATTATCAAGAGAATGATGGGGGGTGGACAAGCCTGGGGCAGGGAGGCACTGTGCAGAGGATTTTCAGATGTGGCCCTAAAGTACCTCAGAATCTGCCCCTTGGCTTAGGCCTCAAAACTAAAACTCTTCTCTCTCTATTCTTTCCTCCAGAGGGAGAGAATCCAGAGGCATAGCGACAAAGGACCTCAACTTTATGACAGGACTTAGCTAGTTGTCCTTTGACAATCAGCCAGGAAGCCCTTGCAGTTGTACTTCCCACCACCCCCAGGGTCCAGCAGAGCTGAGCCTCCTGCAGGCAAGAGAGAGATGTTTGCTCCGGGACCCCAAGAAGGTTAAGAACAGGGCAGCTCACACCCTTCCTTTGTTTTCCCTCCTGACATTTAGCAGCCTGGGGAAGGTGTGACTGGGGCTGGCCTCCACTGGCTACTACAGGCTCTGGGCCTTGTGCCTGGATACCAGCTCTGTGGGGTCGAGAAGCTCCAGGTCATGGGAAGGGGGCAAAGAAGCAAAGCGAGAAAGAAGAGCAACAAGGATGTCTTCTTTACCTGTACACTGGTGGATGGCATCCTGGGAACCACAGCTTCTTTATCCACTCTCTCCTCCTGCTGCCACTCTAGGTCCTGAGCGGGCAGAGCTAGAGAAGAGGAGAGCTGTGAGGCCCAGTGAGCTCACTTGCAGGCCCAAGGGCTGCCCACCCTGATGGTAGTGACCACAGGTGTACACACATGTACGCACACACTCACAGGTCCACACCCTGTGTCCCCTTCTCAGTCTTTTGTACAAGCTCCTCCCTCATCTCGCCTCTGGCTAGCATCCCATGTGGCAGACCCTCATATTCTCATCCCCCTCAGTCCTCTCTGCTTAGCTGCCAACCTGCCCTTCTGGACTTCAGTTCCCAACTCAACTTCACAAGGCCCAGATCTGCAGGCTGATTCACATCTGAACTCCAGACCTAGACACCCAACCCTTGACTCCAATCTCTCCACCTACCTATCTGGGGGAAGATGAACGAATACCCAGAACGAGCCAAAGGGTGGGGCTATCACCCCAGCAGGCAGAGGACAGAGCCTCGAGCCTCAGAGGATTATTCTCAGGCTTTGACATTGTCCTGCTGGGTCTTCAACTGGCTTGGGACCCAGAATCCCTTTCTTCTCTCCTACTGGGAATGGAAATGTATGTCCTGAGCCTGTCCTACCCTTGTATTCTGGACTCAGAGATGCCCTCCTCTGGTTTCACAGATTCACAGATGGAGAGGCAGTTTGCCCCCAGGCTGGACCACACTCTAAGTCAACCCTTGTACCTGATTTGGGTGATTTGCATGATCAAATTTCTGACTTTCTGAGTTGATGAGATGTAGATGAGGTTTTAGACTTGGAGTTGATGCTGCAATGGATAAAAATCTGGGGAATGTTGGGATCACGTGAATGTATTTTGCACGTGGGGAGGACATAAATTTGGGGGAAGCCAAAGGGAGACTGTAATGGGTTAGATTCTGTTCCCCAGTAAAAGAGGAAATTCTAACTCCTGGTACCTCAGAACATGACCTTATTTGAATTACAGTGGTTTTGCAGATGTAATGACTTAGGATGAAGTACAGTGGAGTAGAGTGGGCCCTCAATCTGATGACTGGTGTCCTTACAAAAAGAGGAAAAGAGACACAGAAACTGGGACACATATGGGGAGACAGCCATGTGACCATGCAGGCAGACTGGACCCATGCATCTACGAGCCAAGGGACACCAAGGATGCCACAAGCACCAGAACCCAGGAGAGAGGCAAGGAAGGACCAGATTTCACAGGAAGCACGACCCTGCCAACACCTCAATTTCAGATTACTGTGCTCTTAGCACTATGAGGCATAAATTTTTCCTGTTTTTCTGCCCTCCTAAAAAAAACATGCACTCACCACCTTCCCAAGTCTGTTCCTCCTCCAGTGTTCCCAACCTCAGGAAATGACATCCCTGCCTTAGATGAGAAATCTCACCCCTCTCTGATACTCGACAGACCCAACAACTAATGCACAAGCAATGAGTCACAACCTCTCTACATGAGGCACCCAAAGCTCCCCAACCCCACCCACCCATTTCCTTTTCTCCTAACCTGGCCCTCTCTACGGCTAATGCCACATCACACCTTCCTCCCTCTTGGATTCATATAAATGTCACTGCCACCTGACTTAGATGTCACAACCCTGTCTCCCACACCATGCTTGGCACATAAATGCTCTGAATCATCTGCTAAATATAAAGACACACAATTACCAAAACTGTCTCAACTTGACCTCTTGTGTGTCTGGGAATGAATGTTCCATCCTCACCTACCATGCAGATAAGAGTTAATACAGCACCTTTGACTGTGCTCCTTAGCAAGGCTGATGGCAGGGTTGGACCCCTGGCTTCAGTCTGCAAACTTGGATTTCAAGAGGGTTCCCACCCTCACTGATAAAGAGGAGTACACTCTGCTTACACTGTTTATAGAGTGTAGTTCGTGCTCCATGCCTGCTTTCCTAGGAGTCTGGAGTGTAGGCATGCTCTGGGCAGAGGGCACACACATGCCCAGTCTTGAGTGAAGTCCCTGGGTACTGAGTCTCCAATGAGCCTCCTGGCAGACAACACTTCACTCCTGTTGCCCTTGCACATTGTAGGGAATTAAGTGCATCCCATGTGATTCTGCTGGGAGAGGGGTCTGGACACCTGTGCCTGGTTCCCTCCAGACTTCACCCCATGCACCCTTTCCCTAGGCTGGTTTTGCTTTGTATCCTTTCCCTGTAACAAACCATAGCCATGTGCACAACTGTATGCTGTAACCTGTGAGGCCTCCTGGTAAGTCATCAAACCTGAGATTGGTCTTAGGGACCCCCACCACATCGACTCTACACCCACCCCAAGTCTAGGCTGCCACCACTCCTTTCCTAACTGCCTTCGTCCACCACTCACATCCTCCCTGAGGCCCACCATCCTCCCAGGTCCTAGAGGCTTCTGTTAGAACCACAGGCCCACTCACCTAATGCACCCCTACCTTCCAGTAGCCTTAGGACCTGAGCCAGGATTCTTTTCCTATACTCCCAGGCACCAAAGGATCTGCAGCCCATTCACTCTCCAGTCAGCTCACCCCACTTCCCCGTGCCCCCTTCCCACAGACTGCCGCGGGCCCCTGGGCATGCCGGGCTCTCTCCCCCTGAGGGGTTTGCCAGGCCTGTTTCTAGGCCTAAAATTCTCTCTCCAAACCTTCTCCAAACATCACATCTGGCCACCTAAAGGATACAGTAACTATGATCTAATCCAGAGCCTGAAATTAAAGTTATCATGTTATCTGTCCTCCAGAAAATTTTCCCTACATCTTAGTAAATGTGTCTTTTAACCCCATTTTTTAAAAAGTTTGTTTAAAACATGTGCCATGTATGGGAACTCAGCTGTAATCTCCATCATCGTCATGACTGTGCTGTGAAGAATTTAATCTCTCCCAAAGAGAGGGCTGGCCTTTTGTCACAGCTCAGTGGGGCCTGCTCTGTCTTAACAGAAAGATCTGGGACAAAAAAATCTGAGGACTGTGAAAGTGCCTTTCCCCCTGAAGGCACAGATCAGGAGAGGCCTTCATGCACTCTCTCCCAGTGGTGCAGGGCAATGCCGAAAGTCAGAGGAGATGAAGGCTGCAGGTGCAAGTTCCCACAAGACAGCCAGGCCCTCTGACTGTGATTCCACCCAGTTCTCACTCACCAGAAGCCCTGGCCCCCCAGGGGTCAGGGATGCCCAGTGCAGCGTCCGGTGTGGCCACCCTTTGAATCTGCACAGCCACCTTCAGCCCCTGGACAGAGTGACGGGAACAGATTAGAGTTGCATGGTGGTGGATGGGATCCGCCCACACATGCTCACTCTGATTGAATCTGCATTACCTGCATTTCCTCATTTGGGGAACATACTGATAAAAGGACATGCCCTGATTACCTGCCCAGATCTACTGAATTCTTTAAGAACTGCAATTCCTAGAAGGCTAGAGAGGAGGGGCCGCAACGCAGGAGCCTCCTCTGAGCAGCCTCCAGCTGTGAAGGGAACGCTGGAGCAAAGCAGGCGGTGGGTGCCAGCAGGCTGAGGGGTAGAGGGAGGTTGTGAGGTGGACCTGTGCAAATGAGGGCAGTTAGAAAGTTATTTCCAGAAGGACGCCCTATGGTAGGAGAAAGCATTTGAATGCTGCTCTACTGGTGGCTGCTCCCTCAGGAACCTGACCTGACTTGCACCTCTAAGGGACACCTCTGGCCTGTGTCCAGGGTAGGACCAGTGGAAGCAGGAGCCTATTGGAAGCAGTTCCGGCTGGGGTGAGTACAGGTGTAATGGTGAATCTGGCAGGGTGGAGACAGTGGGGACAGGAGAAGCAGTTCCAGGTAGGTTACGGTTTGGCAGAAAAGCTATAGGACTTGGTGGTAGGTGGAAAGTAAATGCAACAGGCCCCTCAGGGAAGCGGATGGGCAGGGGGAGATAGGAGGCCCCTTCTCCTCAGGGCAGGGCACATCCTAAAGTGTCCCTTTCAAATACTCTCAGTCACCAGCCTGGATACTCCTCATGGAGCCCTCAGATCATAGGACACGCTCATTCCTATAGGTTTCCTGGCCATGCACAGGGTGGGTGTGAGGGCAGGAAGTGAAAGAAGAAAAGCTGGACCAAGAGAGGCAGGGCCAGGGTGATAGCTCCTGTCACCTGCCACCTTCTAGGTTGGCCTTCCTTGCAGAAATGCTCGGTGGGCCTGTTCAGTTCTTAGCAGGAGCTAAGCCTGGACCTCTAGCATGTTCTCAGTTCCCAACAGTGGGCCCTGAATTAACAGGGCCTCCTCATTAACAAAAATCCTGCACCCCAGGCCTTACTGGCTGAAGCCCCTGCAGCATACCACCTCCCAGGCTTACTCTGTATCCAGAAGGCCAAGACAACTCCCAGATAGCTGGCTGGTCCTCAGAAGATGAAAATATCCCCCTCACCCCCATCATGGACCAGGTCTGGATCCTCAGGTCCAGTCCTGGCTCCTAAAAAAAAAAAAAAAAAAAAACATGTAAAATGCTAAGCAGGACAAAAGTAGCACTGAGGCTGTTTTCAGCCTCAGAGACCCCTGGTTTAGGGGTAGTAAAGTCAGAAGCAGGGGCACATGGGTCTGGCAGTTCCAGACCCAGTGACTTTTATTCCACTGAGGACACCAGACACTCAGTCCAAGGGTCTGAGGACAGATCACGGTGGACCTGACCTTTTTTTGTTCTGCAGGCCCTGGATGGAGGTTAGGCCACAAGCCCTCAGAGGGTCTTGGTTGTTCAGGATGTTTAACCACAGAAAGGCTGGAAGCCCTTGGTTCTGAAAGTGAACTGTGGTCTGTATTTATCTATTTAGCATCCACTACTCACAGGGCCAAACTATGGGCCACAACTGTTTACATCTCCCCTGTCACCCAGAACCACCTCCTCCATCCTAAATCACCCAGGCCAGGTACCAGACACAAGGGGAGCCCCTGGGCCCAAGGTCTCCCGGAATTATTTGAATTCAGCAATCCTGTTCGTCCTGCCCTATGGAAACCCCCATACAGGTTCTGACCTAAACTCCTGCCTTACCGTAACCTTTCTGCCTCCTCACTGGCCCAGACGTTTTCCCTGTGTGGCCCCATTGGCATGGCAAGCCCTCTGCTCTGAAGAAATGTGAGTCAAAAAAAATTGGTGGCACCAGTCTCTCTGAGTAATCAGTCACCTCCATAAATTAAAGTCCCATGGGTACATTTTGAGACAAATGTTTTCATCAAAGTAATTTTGACACAGATTATTCCTCTTGAAAAATAAGTTTTTTAGGAGTACAGCCTATTTGTTCAACACACTGACTGAGCACTGTTAGTGTGGACACTGTGGATCCAGCCAAGAACTAAAGTGTCCAGCCTCTGGGAGCCAGGGGCTGTGGAGAGGCAGCATAGGAAGACTCTCCTACGGGAGAGCCCAGAGACACCCCGTCCTCAGTTTCCTTTAGGGCTCTTCTAAGAGCAATTCCCAGCCCCTCCACTGGCCTCACTGACCATAAGGGGGAGGTTGCAGTCTGGCCACTAACAATCCCATCTACAGGAAGGCCTCAGAACTACCACAGGGGGCCTCTGTGATTGGGACAAAGCTGATGACACGGGAATGGTGGAAGGGCTCGCTAAAGAGTCAGCACCATCGACCAAGTGGGGGGTTGTGTGACCTCAGGCAGTATATCCTGCTGGCTGAGATTGTGGTCTCAGAAGTTAGGCCTGGATACAGGCCCAAATCCAGCTTGACCACTTGCAGGTCATGTGTCTTCAGGAATGAAGTGCTCAGTTTCTCTACATGTGTCTGGAAGTGGATCTCCTCTGCCCACTTAGAACATTCTGTGAGTGCCTGTTTCCTGGGGGACAGATGCAGCAGGAGAGGCCCCTCCTCTACCACACTCAGTGCCCACTACTGAGCCAGACTGCAGTTCTGTGAAGGTGCTAGAACCCCATGCTGAGAGAAAAGAGCCACAGAAACCAGAGAGGACCTGTCCACCATAACATCCTCCCCACTCCTCCTCTCCCATGGTCCAAGCGCAGTGAAAGGTACCGGGTTCAATCCCCAGTCAGGGCACATGCCTGGGTTGCAGGTTTGGCACCCAGTTGAGACACATGGGAGAGTCAACCGATTAATGTTTTTCTCCCTCCCTTCCTTCTCTCTAAAAATAAATAAATATTTAAAAAAAAAAAAAAAGACATGGAGATGGCAGGGGCCTAGAGATGCCTTCGCCAGCACCTACAGGTCCATTCCTTCACTCAGCAAGCCTCCAATGAGGGCTTTATGACACAGAATGCTTTATAATAGGGTTGCTGCACCGATCATATCAGATGATGGCCTTATAATCCAGCAGCTCCAACAACACATTTGCAGATCAAGTCCTCAAAAATGACATGCCCTTTCCTGAGTGGCTACTAGAAAACATCCTCTACCTAAACAAGAAATGTAGACTAAGAACAGCAAGGACCTGGGGAGGAGTCAGGGGTCTCAGCAGCCCTGGAGTCCATTGCAGGATGTGCAGGGGTGACCATTTGGGCCACCTAACAGCCCCTATCAGGCTGTGCAGGCTGAAGCTCCCTGTGCTCCGGGCAAAGGAAGAGGACAAAATGGACTGAAGTCTCTACAACCTAGGCCACACCACCCCAACCACTGAGCCAGCATCAATGATGTCAAGAGGCCAACACCATCCATAACAAAGGCAAGGGCATGTAGACTGAGGGACCCCAGAGATCTCATTGGCTCTGGGACAAGCAGGCTCAGCCCAAGGGTAAAGCTGGGCTCTGTGTGTCCCTCTACCCAAATCCTAACCCTCAAAATCCCCAAGAATGAGAACCCAAACTTTGGAAGTTCCAGCAGGTTGGGAAAGCAGGAACTTGGGGCCAAAGTGGGGATGGAGGTGCTGTGTGTGTGTCTGCTTATACACTGTAATGTACGCAAGCTGGTTCTGAAGGTTCTTTCCAGTGTGGAGTCTTGACTTATCTCTTAAACCGGGAAGGATCCCGGACAACTTTCCCACGTTCTTCATAATCAGACTGGCCCCCTCTCCTGTGGGTTCTCTTGTTCCTGCCCAGGAACCGTTCCTCCAGAAGCCTTTCCCGCCACAGTTAAAACATCAGGTGCCTTCTCTCCTGGCGGAATTTGCCCTGGCAAGGGGTGAATGGTGACAAAAAGCTCGCCAGCATCCATGCCATGCCCAGGGATGCTCCCTGTTTGCAGCATTTTAAGAGGTGCGCCTTGTTTATACAGGTTGAGTTCTTTGAGGACACTGTGGGCTCCATCACCAGGCTTTCTCACGTGCGTAACCTTCCTGGGGTTTCCCCAACAGACAGCACGTTCCTCACGACTGTTGCAGAGTAAATCGCCTTTCACGCAATCAATGTCTCACTCACACTGATGGAAATGTGTACTTGGGGGAACCATCTAAGAAGACGGAGTCGTAAGCAACAGGTGGCATTTATTCAAATTAATGAGTCACAGACTATGTGAATAGTCGTATTCATTATAGTCACAGTGTCCCCTCAGATACTGGGTGGGAAGGGGACATTCTTAAGGAAGTGCCCTAGATCAAAAGCCCTGGCCCTGGGGTACATTTTCAACTCACATATTCCTCAACTTCTCCAATGAGAAAGAATATAGGACCACTCACTGTGATTCTTACCATTTGCAAATCATAGGATGAATTTTCCTCCAAAATATCCTGCATAGCAGTAGACTCTTTGCGTTTAGGTTGAGATTCCCAGTCTAAAATAAATTGGAACCAGAAACAAACAAAAGGAATTTTTTTCAGAAATAAATATTGGTATAAAATTGACAAAGAAAAAATAGGTTTTTAAAAATACTGACCTAAGAGGACTAAAGGATAATGGGAAAAAATACTATGTATGTATATATATAAAATTAAAAAAATAAAAGTATTGCCCTGACTAGTGTGGCTCAGTAGACTGAGCCCTGGCCTGCAAACCAAAGGGTCGCTGGTTCAATTCTCAGCCAGGGCACATGCCTGGGTTGCAGGCCAGGTCCCTAGTTGGGGATGTGCGAGAGGCAACCAATCAATATCTTTCTCCCTCTCTTTCTCCCACCCTCCCCCCTCTCTAAAAATAAATAAATAAAATAATTTAAAAAATTTTAAAGGGAACTTGAAACATATCTTTTCTGAGACCGAAGAGCTACAATGTGAAAAACAGAAGAAAAGCTAAAGCAACTCCCTTGATAAATCTCACACCAAATAGCCTTATTTCTCTCAAAATAGAGGGCCTTTGAAATGCTCTAAGACTGACACTTTCCAGTGCACTGCCCCCATACCAGGGCACATCACAAGACCCCTGTGTCCCCTGATACTCACCCACACCCATGGCACGGAGAATGCCTTGTTCTGCTGCCCTCAACTCTTCTCTTGGCCCCACCTGGGAGGCAAGCCTGGGTTTGCATGGTAGTGTCCCTGCTCATGGAGAAAGACATTCACGCTGAGGGAGGGAGGTGGGGAGCGAGGGAGGACTTGCAAAGGAAAACAAACACTTCCCCATTGGCCACCCAGCTTCTACACGGACTTCAGCTCCTGATGCTGAACAGTACAATGCTACAAAGTGATCACACCCAATTTCTAATGAACTCAGCGAAGCTCTCTAACAAGGGCCCAAACCACATCCTCCTCTCTGCCCCATGGGGCTAATGCTCTCTAAGCCCTAAAGCCAGGGTCAGTGAGATCCACACAAGTCCTGCCTATGGAAAGAATTAAGTCCATGCAGTGGATGGAGCCCTGTTACCCTGTGGAAACCAGTGAACAGTAAACACCAGGAAGCCTACACCACATCCTTGTGGTCATGTGGCAGGTGCTTACTAAGCACACAGGATTTAAGCATTTAGAGCCAGCCTTACCCCTAGGAGCCAGGGTCTGACAGGTGTTTAGTATTCCATATCTGTACAGGTTCCTCCTCGCGTCGTCCAGCAACTCCCATTCCTGGACGAGCCCTGCTGCTACATCCTCAAAGGTGACTGATTCCTAAGATGGCACACATGTTCTGGCTCAGCAAGGACCACCCCCACCATTCTGAAGAAGGGAAACCCAGCACAAGAACATTGAGACAGGGGCACTCTCCATTCCAGAGCTCAGCAAAGCCCACCTGCCATTTGTCTTTGTAAATAAAGTTTTATCGGCACACAGCCATGCCTGTGTGTTTACCTATCTCCATGGATGTTTTTGTGCTACAAAGGCAAAATTGAGCAGTTGCTGCAAGAGATCACATGGTCCACCAGGCCAAAGATATTTATTTTCTTTTAACCTTTGGTTAAAAGTATAAGTTTTGGCTCTCTTTATCACATCACCGACCAGAGATGGCAGAGCTTATACCTCTGAGCTTAGAGAGTTTTCCCTAATCTCCTTATTTGAGGCATCAGAAGTTTGGATTAGATCACTTCATTTTCATGCCATCCCTAGGTCCTCTCCCAAGACTTATATAAGCATTTAGTAATCTTTTGTGCCTGTTAAGATAGTACTTTCATTACAACAGAGACACTCTATGGCCTTGTAATGTCACAGTTCTCTCTCCAGAGGCACTGTCCAGTTCAGCTCTCTGGGGCAATGGGAATGTTCTATGTCTGCACTTGCTCAAAGGGCAGCCATCAGTATGTGTGGCCACTGAGCACTGGAGAAATGTGGCTCAGGCAACTCAGAAACTGAATTTTTTAATTTCATTGGATTTTAATTCATTTAAATTTGAATTTCTACAGTCACGTGTTTACAGTAGGTCTCACAAGCGAGAGCAAGGATAGCCCCAGAGGAGCTTCGTTGCCAGCTCTAAATGAGCCTGCTCTGCAGCCAGATTTGGGAATTAGACCCAGAGCCGGTCCTCCAAGCCAGCTCCCTCCAGAGGTCAGGCACTGAAAGAGGTCGCCAGGTCCCCTGGAGCAGGGCAGAAGATGCTCCACACTTCCCCTCCCCTGTCTTCCTCAGCTGCTGCTGAGGAGAGAGGGGGAAGAGCTCAGAGTACCTAATTATCTACCCCCACCATCTGACTCCCCAGTGCCTCACCATGACGCCAGTGCCAAAGTAGGTCTCAGTAGGCATCCTCCCTGCAATAAAAGAGACCAAGTATAAGAAGGGGTGAGGGTAGAAGCATAACTCCAAAAAGGGGTTTAACTCAGGTAATTTCATTTTGATGAGCCACCAGGCAAAAACCCAGTAAGCAACATACTGGGCCACATCACCTTCCAGACCATGGCACCTGATCATTTCTTCCACTGCCTCTCACCTAACTAAAGGATCGTCTGTCCTCACAGTCCCTCAAAATACCTCTCACAACCTCTACTTTTCCTCCACTGTCTTTATCCAGTTGTGATTTTTATATTTACTTGTTTGCGTGATTTTACCTCTCTCTCCAACCATGATGTAAACTAAGTATAGGCCTATGTCCATTTCTTTTGAGGGACCCCAAATTCCGCCACCAGCACAGCACTTGATGCATCTTTATATATTACGCTTATACTTTTTCTGTAACAGGTCAGATAGTAAATAATATCTTAGAATTTATGGACCATACAGTCTCTATAACAAATATTTAACTGCATTTGCAGCATGAAAACAGCCATAAAGAACACATAAAAACACCCTGGCCAGTGTGGCTCAGTTGGTTGGAGAGTCGTCCTGTATACCAAAAGGCTGGGGGTTCAGTTCCCCATGAGGGCACATATCTAGGCTGCAGGTTCGATCCCCAGTTGGGGTATGTATGGGAGACAACCAATCAATGTTTCTCACATCAATCTCTCTCTCTAAAATCAATAAACATATTCATTTTTAAAAAACATAAAAATGTTTCAATAAAACTACTTATAAAAATCAGCATTGGGTCAGATTTGACTCATGGGCCATAGTTTGCCAACACCTACCTAATATTATGCAGTAGAGAGAATATATCAATTACCAAGCTCTCTCAACCCTACCTCCTACACGTGTCTCAAACACTGCATCTTTTCCAGTTCCCCAAGCACCATCAAAACTCAACTACCATCATCTGAAATCTGAACTTATCCAAGCTCCCATATACGGACAGACCCTGCTCACCCCAAACTCCATGCTCAATCCAACAGCTGATGTTTTATCTAAATTACAAACAAAATTATGGCTATCCCCTACTTAAAACTCTGATCAGTTTCTTCCCAGTGGCCTTAGAACAAAGTCCAAAGTTTACAATGACCTTCAGAGCCATGCCTTCCTCTCCAACCCAGCTCATCCATTCTGTATTTTATTTTCTCTACTTTGGCTTTCCCATTCTTTCCTAGGCTCCTGGAAGGCATGAGGCTTGGTACTGCCTGAAGGTCTGTGCATCTGAAAATGTTCTCTCAAATCTCCTCTCCATTCCTACTCCACATCCCGATCCCCTGTCTAGCTATATACAACTCATCTTTTAGATTCAAACTCTTGTCCTTTTTAAGATGTTTTTCCTGACCTCCTCCCAAAATTCTCCTGTTCCATGTTTCTAAATCAGCTTTTGCCATGATTAAAATCTGTCTTCCCAGCTAGAATAAAACCTCGGTGGAGATAATCACTGTATCTATTTTGGTGGCAGTGTTTCCCCCTGTTCAGAGCCCAGTCCATCCAGGGAACTTCATGTGCCAAACTATCAACACTCCCCCAAAACAATTCAGCACAGCCAGCTTAAGGCCACACATGCCCAAACATACAGACACATGAAACAATGTAACAACACAAAAATCAACATAAAAGTGACTTAAAATATCTGTTCATATAACACAATCTGCAAGAGATTTCAGGAACATTAATTCTTTCTAAAAAGGCAAGATGATATTGTTTGTCTTCAGACCGTATAAATCTTTCGCCTTTTACTAAAAAGGCAAGATGAGACATGTATTCTTTTTGCAAACAAGAATTGAAATCTGATGTTTAATTTTCCTCCAGAATTAATATTTTCATTTCTCAGTAGAGTGAGCTTTAACCCTATTAAAAAGAGAAAAATTCCATCTGTGGCCAACTCAATTTCAATTCCCACCATTACTATGTCATCTTTTTCCTAGAGTTCCACATGTTTTGAAGCTCTGTAGTAATTTATAGGCCTGGGGTAACTGAGCCAAAGTGAAGAGAACTGAATAGTTTACTTTTCCTTGATGATAAGACTTGTTACATAATTGACAAATAGCTTAAGACACCCCCACTTCACAATTAAAAAAAAAAAGTCTGGTATTCACAAAGGCATAAATTAAAAGAAAGAGATATAAAAGGAAAAGGCAACAAAGCTAAGTCAACAGGTCCTAAATTCAGGAACTGAAAATCGTCAATTACCAGGAAAAAAAAAATTCGTCATCTAATTCATCCCTTGGTAAAGGATGCATTCCATTTCCTTAAAATTTAATTGACAAAGCCATTCAAACCAATTTGCACATGTAGACTTAGACCTCACTTTTCCATTGCAGAATGAGATAATATGAAATGTTATATTAAATAAAACGTGAATTGCTTATAAAGTTATCTTGCATAAGGGCCCTACGAACACAGGAGGACGGGTGAAGGCGGGGGCTGACCCGTGTCACTCTTCCTGAACTGCGGGACCTGGACTGCATTTCGTCGTTTCCCTTCCGATACATGAATGAGCCGGGTCTGCCCGGACCGGGGTTACCTGAGCGCCAGGCAGCTGGCCGGAGGAGTGAGTGACGCGCCTGCAGGGCAGACCTGTGCGCGCCTCATCCCCGCCCCAAGGTGACCACGGGGAGAAGGGACCTCGGCCAGAGCAGCTGTCCCAGGCCGTTCAGCCCCTCCGTGCTCTCCCCGCGCTCCCGAGGGGCCAGACCACACCTGCAAACCTTGCCGCTACACTAACTCCGCGGCACGCCGTGTGGACCACTGCACAGCCTCAGAAGGCCAAGCTGCGGCTGCCCCAGCGCACTTTCGTTTCCGGTCTTGGGGCCGCTGGGAGCGGAAGTAACTGGGGCTCCTGGTTTTCTGGGCCGAGGTAGCTTCAAATAGTGGCCCGAGTATAGACTCCCTGTAAATCCAACCTCAAAGCAGATATTCTGGTTTACTTACCTGAGGGGGTGAGGATCGGAGGGACCGAGGGGTTTAGGGGCGGGATCTAGGTCCGATGCACAGGGCTGGGACGAGGGTTTGGTCCAATGGGCGTGGATTGGAACGGGACCTGGGCTTGTTTGGGAGGTCGCCTCGCTGGCAAGGTGGAATGCACAATGTTTAACTTTCCCCTCCCGTTGTCTGGCCTCCACCTTTCTCTTTTGGCTTAACCCAGTTCCCTGCAAAAATATATCCTATGTAAGATTTATTTTTCGTCTTACTAATTTCTTTTAAAAATAGGATCAAACCCTGGCAGGTGTGGCTCAGTGGGTTGAGTGCCTGCCTGCCAACGGAAAGGTCACTGGTTGGATTCCTCTAGTCAGGGCACGAGCCTGGGGTGCGGGCCAGGTCCCCAGGTGAGGGTGTGTGACAGGCAACTGATCAATGTATCTCTCCAACATCAGTGTTTCTCTCTCTCCAGTCCCCTTTCTCTAAATACATAAAATCTTTGGGGGGAAAAGGATTAAAAATAGGATCAAATATAGTTATGTACTACATAAGGACATTTTAGTCAACAAACAACCTCATGTATATGATGACAAAGGGGTCATATACTGTGGCACCCACCAACACAAGCAACAAATGGTCGGAAACTTTCAGGAGTTTAAGGTGGAACTTTATTGGCCATAGCTTTACCTGCGCAGGGGCGAACTCTGGAGGTGTCCGGAGACACGGTGCCAAGAAGGCTGCAAAGGAGAGTGGCGCCTGGCACTTACAGCCTAGAGTTTTTATTGGGGTGAGCAAGCAAGCAAATACAGAAGCAGACATAGCTGTTAGCAATTGGCTATCTCGAGGGAACACACATGGCTATGCTTTCTGCTTGCAACAATGGAGAGTTTTCTGCAAAGACAAGGTCATGCACCGGCGGTAATCTTGTTCAGCACTCTTTGTACTTTCTGTACTTTCTATCTCCCTTGCTGAGTCAGTCTGGAGCCTGCGTCGGGTTCCTCTTTGCTACTTTTATCTAATTCCGGGCCTAACAATACTAAACCTGATAAGCTCAGGTGAGGCCTTATAAATAAACTCAGAGACCAAAAGCAACAAAGGATGGTCTAAAATTAAAGCTGCTTAACTAAAAGCAAGTTATGGCAGGCACTCACGTCCTTGCCCAGTATCTTCCTAAACAAAGGTCAGTCTTTACCTTAACTGAGCCTGTCTGTTGTCCTTTTGCATCTAAGATAATATACTTTTGGAATGTCAGTAATCCCTTTCTCCAGACCCCCTCAGGGCTTAATCTCCCACCCCAGTACCAGAGCACCTAGTCCCTCATTGTTTTCTTGTTCCCTCCACATACCATCTCCATGAGCTGTAAATGTTATTGTTAATTATACTATACCCACCAAAAGAAGTATTTATCTCTTCGTTTTGCTTTTTTTCTAACCCCAGAGATTCCACCCACAGACCCCCCCTTTGCTTTCTCTTGCCTCCCTAATATATCACCAAAGAATTTCATTAACCTTCTTTGTACTTCCTACTTTGATTGTAATGTATAAAATAAGGTGCAAAGTTGCCATTCTCTGGAGCATTTTCTCAATTTGTTGAGATTTTGCTTCCTGGCAGTTGTCTTCAGATTGGCTCAAATAAACTCATAAAAAGTCTTAACAGGTTTGGATGTTTCTTACATTGACATATACCATAGTAGTCCCTTAAGATTATAATGGAGCTGAAAAATTTCTATCCCTTGTAATTTAGTACCAGTCCTAATGTTGTAGCTCAGTGCATTACTCAAATACTTACATTATATTACAATTGCCTACAGTATTCAGTAGAGTAACATGCTGTGCAGGTTGTAGCTATAGAGGAATATAATTTATTACCCAAAAATAATGTCTATTTGGCATAAAGATTATTTTAGGCTGGTTAATTTTAAGAAGGCAGATATAGGAAAAGCTATGAAAATTAAGTAGAAGTTACCCTTTTTAAGAGATTTATATTCATAAGGGAAATCTCCATTTGTAAGGGTGTCTCCCTCCTTATCTGCAGAAACTCTTATCAGTGCAGAAGACAAAGATAAAGTCTGAATAACAGTCTTACCCTTCCTTGTTCTCTATGCTTTTCCTGGTAACCTACCATAACTGACTCCCCCCACCCGCAATGTCTTCATTTGTCTTCAGCTGAGGCTGGTATTTAAGGTGTGGCTTCAGCCATTTGGATGAGTTACTCAGTTTCCCAGAGTCCCTCCCATATCATTAAACTGTTGTTTGTCTTTCTCCTGTTAAGCTGTTTTTTAAAACAGGAATGTCTCAGCCAAGAATCCATCAGGGTAGACGAAAAATTCTTTTTCTTCCCCTACAGAGCAATAGGTGTGTAGTAGGCTATACCATGTAGGTTTCTGTAAATACACTCTATGATGTCACCTATGACATAGTTCTCAGAACATATCCCCATCATTAAGAAGCTCATGACTGTATCTTATTTATTCTACAACTTGCTGTGGGGGAAGTCAGAGGCGGAGTAGAGCTCTAGCAGTAAAGGCGTCTGGGAAATGTTGGACTCTCTGTTCAACCTTCTGTGACTGTTTAACTCTCTGTAGCCTCAGGCTTAGCTGACTACCAAGAAAGTCAGAATGCCACCCAAAGATAAACATAATGCCCCCAAGAAGGAGTTTAATGAATGTATAGAGTGTGGATAACTGCCTGATGTTGTCTGTTAACTTAGAAATGCATTGTTCCTTCTGGTGGTCTGCATGACTACCCACCATATGGTTTTACTATTAACCCCCTATAAAAGAGACCCTACCCTGGGAGGGGATGGATTTCTCTGCCCACCACCACTGGGAGTAAGCAACTGCTTTGCCTGTGTATGTAAGTTTCTCCTTTTAAAGCTCTTATGAATTTGAATAATGCTACATGTCAGTTCTTCAGAATCCATCCTGAATTTAAACTTTTGAGGCTTTTCCCCAACCCTTGCATTTTCTCATTAAAAATAAGATATGAAAATCTGTTCAAGATGATATATAGGAAATCTGGCTCTTAAAATTATGTATTTGTTAAAGGGAAGATATGAAGAAGTGCAAACTGGTAGTTACAAAATAGTCATGGGGATATAAATTACAGTACAGGGAATACAGTCAATGATATTATAATAATAAGTGTATAGTGTCCAATAAGTACTAGATTTATCAGGGTGATTGCTTCATAAGTTATATAAATGTCTAATGACTATGTTGTACATATGAAACTAATGTAAATTTTATGTCAACTATAATTGAAAAAATTATTTTTTAAAACTGTTTTTTACAAAACTGATATTCTACAGGGCTTCTGAGATCTTGCTCCCTGGCATGTTTTGTTAGCTTGGCTGAAATAAACTATTAAATTCAAATAAATAAATATGTATTTGTTATATGGTTTAGATAGTGATGTAGTAGGCAGTTAGGAGCAGAATAGGAAAAATAAGCCAGGTATGGAAGGTCACCAGGGTACAAAGCACTGGGTGCCAAGCAAGGGGCAGTTGTATGGTGGGACCTCACCTCCAGGGTGACCTTTCTGTCCTTATTATATCCCTGGTCATGGGGTTTAGACTCCCTGACCTTTCATAACTCTGGTCATATGGTTCAGATTCTCCCCTGACCTTTCCTCCCCTAGCATGTCACTAGTCATGTGGTAGACCCCCTTCAAAGAGGAACCAGGAGGGCCAGAGATAGCCTCATACAGCTCCCGTGTAAGCCTTTGCATGACCACTCCCTTTAGCATTGAGCCCTCAGGACAATGAGGTTGTGACCTGCATCAAATAATCTCAAGAACAAAGCCTTGGGTCTTTTGACCACAGAGACAGAGTTTTGGTCAAACTAGAGATGACATCTAGCCAGGCCCAAAAAAGCAGCAAGGCCAGCACTATGGCTTCAATGACTAATGATCTCTTGCCCTGGCACCAACCATATAGTGGAGACTACAACCCTGAGGAGACACACCTGAAAAGCTGATAAATATTCTATTGAGATCCTCCCCCTGAGAACTCCAGATAAAAACTCTTAAGACTGAGGACCCAGATTGCACACACACATGCTCCCTTTCCCTTTCACAAGCCCCACTCCCCTTCTTTTCCCATCATTCTCATTCCCTATCCCTCTCTCTGTCTCTCTCCCCAGAGAAAGCCTATATCTTTCTTTCCCCCTTCTTCCCTCAAGGAGTGTACCATTGCTTACTCTCTGCTAAGATCTGAGGGTTCTTCTTTTACCTCTGTAATTTGCTTCCTGAGCCCCCACAGCTCAGCTGTCTCACTGCTACCTCTGTAACTTTCTAAATAATCTCCTCCTTGTATTTGAGTCTTTGCTCTGAGTTCTTTCTTAGCCAAAACTAAAAGACAAAGCTCTAACATCAAGCAGTGTTTGCTCCTAACAATAATACATACACACAGGAAAAGTTAAAACTAGGAGTCTCACTCCATTCCTAAGTTTTTCTCACCAGAAACAACCACTGTAACCAGTTCCCTGATATTTTTTATATATCAAGAACATGTGTATATTATTTCTTCAAATAAATATCTATAAGGCATCTGTTGATTGCTGCTTGCTAAGTGCTAAGATTTCAAAGCCCCTCTTTGCAAGAATTCTCCAAGTAGAGTCTGGAGAGGAGATGAGGAGAGAGAGAGATGAGATTGATTCATTTCAATAAAACTACCTCAATACACTATTCCATGTAGCATATTAACACAATATTTATTTTTAAAGAAACTATTGGTGACTTCCCACCAAGAAGGAGGCATAGTGTGCTTCACTTCCTCACACAACCAAAAGGACAACAACAATTTAAAAACAAAAACAACCAGAACTGCCAGAAAATTGAACTGTATGGAAGTCCAACAACCAAGGAGTTAAA